ACTCAATAACCTCATTGAATATACAACATTGACCACCAGCACGGTTCTCTGATCAAGGCGACTCGCATATTTAATCCCGTCTGGCTATTTTTAAAATACGCTTTCCGCCACACACACTGAACATTACACCTACGAATTTCTTTGAATATTCCTAACATCCTCCTTCTCCTCCTCCTCCTACTACTACTACTATTACTACTACTACTACTATTATTATTGCTAGTACTACTACTACTACTACTACTACTATTGCTGCTGCTATCCCTTCTTCATACTTCTCTCTTGAATAATGCAAATTCTACGCATTTAACTTCGATAACGAAGTTGCACTTCCCCTTTTCCTTTGGAAAATAAATCCCGGAGGCGTTCAAGTTTTTGTGTTGCACGAGAAAAAGGGATCGATTTAAAAGTCTTAAATCCTACCTCGATGTATAAATTCCTATTTCTTCTTCCTCTTTTTCTTCTTTTTATCTCTCTCACTCTCGCTGTTTTTTTTCTTTTTTTATTTTTTTTTTTTTTTTTTTTTTTTTTTTTTTTTTTTTTTTTTTTTTTTTTGAAGTAACACAACCAAATAAATATCCATTTTTCTGAAACCTTTTATATTATAAAATAGTATTATTAATGGTATTATTAATAATATTATTATAGGATATAGTTAATGATCGAGAACAGTTGAACACGTTTATAACGAATAATATTGCGAACTTTGATATATTAAGTTTCATTAAAAGGAATGTCGATGATTTTTCAAAGAAATCAAAAAAAAAAAAAAAAAGAAAGAGAGAGAGAGAGAGAGAGAGAGAGAGAAAAAAAGTTCATCTTTGATTAAAATTTCAATAACTTCAAATTCTGATAATTGATTCATAAAAGATTTTGTACGAACGTAAAAAAGAAAAAAAAAAAAAAAGGAAAAAAGAAAAACCCGAGATATTAACGCTCTTTCATTAATTTTTACAAATATATACAAATATTTTTCAATTTCAAGTTCGTTCTCACGTTGTCAGCGACGTCGGCCTTCAAAAACTTCCTTTAGCGATTCTTTTGCGAGAGAAAGTTTGTATTCCGCGGACAGCATCGTGTTTTGCGAAAGTTTTGAAAAAGAAAATGTGGAGGAAGAAGAAGACGAGGAAAAAGAAAGAGAAAAAAAAAGGAGGAGGAGGAGGAGGAAGAAGAAGAAGATGAGGAAGATATAAGCAGGCAGACAAATAAAATTGCGATAATTTCCTAGTCGGTGTTGGCCACATTAAGACAACCAACGATGTCTCTCTCTCTCTCTCTCTCTCTCTCTCTCTCTCTCTCTCTCTCTCTCTCTCTCTCCCCCTCTGTCTCTCTGTCTCTCTGTCTTTCTCTCTCTCTCTCTCTCTCTCTCTCTCTCTCTCTCTCTCTCTCTCTCTCTCTCTCTCTCTCTCTCTCTCTCTCTCTCTCTCGTCTGTCTGTCTCTCGAGCTTACGCACTTCTTGGAATTACGAAGTTTTTATCTCGAAGCTCGACCGCGATTAAATGCGAGAATGCTGAAAAAGTCGGCGAAGAGTTTTCCCGAAGAGTACAAAGAGGGGGATGTAACTTTCTTAACGAGTTCCTCTTCTATCAGGCTTCTCTCTGTACCTTCGACCACTAAAGACAAAAAAAAGAAAAAAAGAAAAAAAAAAAAGAAAGAAAGAAAGAAAGAAAGAAAAAAAAGAAAAAAAGAAAGAAGAAAGAAAGACAAAACGAAAGAGAAAGAGCGACGGTAAAAGAGCTAACTCGATTAGGAATTAATTTTTGACGTACTCGAGTAGAAGGGAAAGTGCAAAACAAATAAAGGATTACCTCGATGAGTACCTCTCGAAAGCTTTTATGAGAATAAGACAAAAGCATTGATGATGTGATAGTAAGTAGATGATAGTGTGAGAAAGAGAGAGAGAGAGAGAGAGAGAGAGAGAGAGAAGGAGAGAGAGAGAGGTGGAGGGAGGGTGAGTCCTTTTTGTTTGAGACAGTCTACGTTTGCGAAGGACTTGCAAAGGTGTACCGAGGCGCAAGATTTTGTGGAAGGTTCGAGTGTCTACGTAGGATAAGCTATAATGAAGAACGAGAAAGAATGAGAGAGAGAGAGAGAGAGAGAGAGAGAGAGAGAGAACAAACGAGAGAAAGATATAACAAAGCTACTTTACGAGTACCTAGATACATACATATGTGTGTATACGTACAATATGTATCATACTTATCTCTCGTTTCGAGTGTTTTACGTTGAGTGAACAAAAGAAGAAGAAAATTTATTTTGTAAATTTGCCTTGTAAGAAAAACATAAATAAGAAGAGAAAAATAAATAAAAAAAGAAAATAAATAAATAAATAAAATAAAATAAAATAAAATAAAATGAAATAAACTAAATGTATAGATCCAAACGAAAGAGAAAAAAGAAATCAAACGGAAAGAATACGCTAATAGTATCATTAGATGTAAATATACGATCTTTCATTCTTTGTTAATTCGATTAAGTTATTAATTTTCTAAATAAATAAATATATATATATATATATATATCAAGTCAACTAAGTAAGTACATAAATAAATACACAGATAAATACATAAATAAATAAATAAATAAATAAATAAATAAATAGATAGATAGATAGATAAATAGAAAGATACAGAGCAACCAACATTGATATTATTTATATAAAACAACAAATTCGTAGGGAACTTCTTTGTTTCCTTTGCCCTCGCACGTTTCTTCTTCGTCTATCTCTTATTCACCATCCCCTATCTATCTATCCATCCATCTATCTCTTTCTATCTTTCTCACGAACTCATTCGTTTCCCTTCCTCCCAATCCCACCCTATTTCCCTTCTATCTCTCTCTCTCTTTCTCTCTATCTGTCTCTCTCTCTCTCTCTCTCTCTCTCTCTCTACATTCCTCTTTTCTCTGTACTAGATCGCAAACGCCATAAATATCAGTCTCTACCCTCGTATCCACCACCATAGAACTACAAGCACGCGCGCGCGCTTACGTACATGCATACATATACACATACACATAAGCATATATAAACGCGCGAACGAAGAAACACCATAGTGGAATCGTATCTCGCTTCCATGGACATGGAATACTACGTGCGCTTGCACCGTGACAAAGCCAGATTTAAGCTCCGCTTACGTTGGAGCTTTCCAGCTGGCTCGGATTCGCTGACTGCATTCTAGCACTCCCTTTCTCTTCCTCACTCACTCTCTCTCTCTCTCTCTCTCTCTCTCTCTCTCTCTCTCTCTCTCTCTCGCTCTCTCTCTCTCTTTCTGTTTCTATACGTTCTCTACATTGTTTCTCCCATGATGTTTCGTAACTATGTACGATACCGTAACACCCTACCCAATCGTTATCGTACGTAATAGACCATAAATTTTGTAAGGAAAATTGTTTTATTTAAAAAGGAAAAGAAGAAGAAGAAGAAAAAAGAAAAGAAAGAAAGAAAAGAAAAAGAAAAAAAAAACATCTCGTCAAAAAAAGAAAACCTCGTCGTAGAAAAGGGAAACCTCGTCGATGGCGATTTATCGATTGGTCGATTTGATTAAGAAAAAAAATATTCTACTCTTCATGTAAATTTATTTTGTACATTAAATAAATACACCCGTTGTACGATTTATACTTTACTTTTTAATTATCTCCCGAGATATCAAAGTTTGCACTCCTTTCTATCCCGATTATACATATAATATTAATATTTACATACCTTAAATATATAATTTTCCAATCGTAGCCAAACGTGAAATTCGTAATTCATATTATATTAGAGGATCATTAACTTTAGAGGATTATTTAACTTTAGATTATATTTTTCATTTCGTATAATACGATAATTACGATATGAAAATTTTTTCAAGAAATTTAATCGAATAGACGATTATCATTCGTTGGTTTTATTCCTACAGGAACAATATTATTATTATTATTATTATTATTATTATTATTATTATTATTATCATCATCGTAGAATGAATAATAACGTAAAATATTTTTAATCGATATAATTAAAAATGAAATCATGATTCGTGATCGTTCTATATCAAGTATTATATCACAAAAAGTGTGAGAGAGAGAGAGAAAGAGATAGAAAGAGAAAGAGAGAGAGAGAGAGAGAGAGAGAGAGAGAAGAGGGGAAGCGTTAGGTTGATACCTTCCAAGATAATACATTGTGAACGAAACGAGGATAACTCTAGAGGATAGAGAAAGGATAGCATTCTCGATTGAATTGCTCGAGAGAAACCGACCAATAACGGTGGAAAGAGCATAAGAGTCACTTGAGAAGAGTCACTCCGATCACTTCAATATATAGTATGTATTGCTATATAATCGAAGTGAAGTTGTATGCGTTGAACTATCCATCCTTCTCAGTTATCTAGCTAGCCTAACCTAGCTAGCTACTAAGCTAGATACCAAACTAGCTAGGAATCTACACTACTATATACAATCTATATGTACATACATACATACATACATATATATATATATATAGATATATGTATGTGTCTGTATGTATATATATATATACACATATCAGACACGTTTGTTTATCCAATGAAAAAGGAAAATACGAGAGGGAAAGAGGTATCGATCGATTTTGCTTCTTTCTCTTGAGACTGACTTGAGAAATAGGAAAGTAGTGGGAAATAAAAAACAACACGTTTACTTCCTGCCTCTCCCTCCCCCTCTATCACTCTTTCTCTCTCGCGTGTGCAATTCTGACGAACTGGCAATTCGATCCTCGAAAGAGGACCCAAGAGACGGCATAAAATTCCTCCCACCTTTATCCACTTATTCTCTTTTTCTTTTTCTCTTTTATCCATTATACTACACCGATCTCTTTATAGTCTTTTTTAGCTCGTCACCCACCTATCAGCTCTCATTTTTCTTCTTCTTCTTCTACTTCTTCTTCTTCCCACCCCCCCCCTCCCATTTTTCTCCTCCTTCGCCTCCTCCGGCATCTATTTCTCCTTTCTATATACTACGCTCGATTTAATTCTCTTACCGTGAAGTGCCTTCAGGTATGCCTTCCCAGCATTGATCAGCTGCCTTGCTCCTGGATTGAACTTGTCTAAGATATTCTGAAATCAGAAAGGAAAAGACATTTTTTCAATTTCATGCTCCGACAATTTCTGACGTTCGTTGAGAATAAAGAAGGAAAGTAAGTAAGTAAGAAAGAAAGAAAGAAAGACAGGAAGAAAGAAAGGAAAGAGGAAAAATGAATTTCGAAGGAACCACCTAATTGAACCTAGCCCTTTTATTATCTGTGTGATAGTAAAAAGGGCGAGGAGGAAAGGGAGAAGGAAATTAAAAGCTACCGTTTCAAGTATATATATATATATATATATATATATATATATATATATATATATATATACATAATTTATCTTCGAAAGAATTCGTTGTTTGAATTCAATGATCAAACTCTCGAATAAAATCTATTAAATAAATATATATATGTATGTGTAAATTGTACGCGATTAATATGACAATTAAATGAAATACTAAAATACATTAATAAAACATAATGAAATCGTATGAACATGAATGAAACGGTATACGAACGGACTAAAATGTGATTATCCGTGATACCATTTGAGAGACATCGTCAATAAAAAAAAAAAAAAAAAAAAAAAAAAAGAAAGAAAGAAAAGAAAAAAAAAGAGAAAAAAAACTCGCAGAACTTCGAAAACGTGAAACGAGATAAATTTAAAGTAAGCGAATAAGTGACTGAGTAAGATAGATAAAGATAAAAATAGAAAAAGAAAGAAAGAAAAAGAAAAAGAGAGAGCATGTAAGTATCTCGAAGCAAGTAAGCATGCAATTAAGCAAGCAAAGAAGGAAGGAAGGAAGGAAGGAAGGAAGGAAGGAAGGAGGCAAGAAGCTTTCCAAGAGCCGGTAATTTCTCTCGGAAAATCGACGGTTTCACCGAGTTCCGAGTCGTAAACAGTCTGAAACTTAAACGCCTCGTCAAGTAAGCGGAAACAATGTTTAGAGGCGGAAGAGAGACGTCGGTTGTGGCCAGTAGGTAAGTCAAGCGGCCGGTAGCTCTTCTACGACTTCCACCTACACCTTCTTCTCGTTCGTCTTATGGTGGAATGAAGAGGAGAAGGAGAAGGAGAAGAAGGAGGAGGAGGAGGAGGAGGAGGAGGAGGAGGAGGAGGAGGAGGAGGAGGAGGAGGAGGAGGAAGAGAAGAAGAAGGAGAAGTAGAAGATCGTGAGTACTAAACCAAAAGACGACGATGTTGATGCCTAGAGAAACTGGTCGAGGAGAAGTTCGGTCTTCGGCTAAATTCTAGCAAAGCCGAGACACCGAAGTGAAACAGCCTCAGGCACATTTCTCCTGGTTTGAGAATGCTAACTTCGTCCTTGTCTTTCTAATACTCAACGGTCCTTCACCCCTCACCTATTTTCTCTCGAATCCATCCACCTCTTCGCCATCCCTCTTGCAACACCCTGTTCAACCCACCTACTCAACCTCTCACCTATCCCGTTTTGTCTTAGCCGGCTGAATAACAAGACAACGTCGCCTGCGGAGCATCTTTAGTATTACGCGTGCTATCATATCTCTCTCTCTCTCTCTCTCTCTCTCTCTCTCTCTCTCTCGCTCTCACTCTCTCACTCTCACACACAAACACACACGCAGGCTCTCACATATAAATGAGCAAATCCACATTCGCTCTACGTCTCTTGCTCTTTCTGTTCTCATTGTGTACACTCTGACTCCCTTTGAAGAAGGGCTTTTACACGTAGAAACGAGAACGAGACAATTAACAGGCAAAAACACTGGCGTTATGTCTGGCACTGCTGTTACCAGTCCTTGTTCCAGTTGAATTCAACAATAAGGAAGGAACTCTACGTGTCTGTCTACGTTAACCGAAGGGATATGCTGATTGTCAGAGACATTTATCATCGGCCGCCTGTAAACTTCCTTCGTCGTCGATCAAAGGACAATCCGTATGGAGAACTACAAGGAGTTATAGAACGTAAATCATAACAGATTAATCGATGCCATTGTCGATGGCTGTCGATCGTACACAATCGTACGATTAACAATCCATTTTAAACGCTTTAACGTTCGATTGTTCCTTCAAATGATTATTGATAATTTTTACGATTCGATTGTTTTCGATAATCGCAAATTATTATTTTTTTTCTTTTTTTTTTTTTTTTTTTTTTTTTTCTTAGTTTCATTCATGATTTTATTCTATAAAAAGATTTCGAAGAAAAATAGATATTCTTTTTTCTTTTTTTTTTTTTTTTTTTTTTTTCCTTAATATCATAAACAATGCAGATTATTACAAATTAATGAGAAATTATTTTAATTATTTTAATAATTTGATTCATTAGTTTCGAAAAGTTTCGAAAGTTTGAAACATGTTATATGATGGAATAATAAATAAATAAATAAATAAATATATATATATATATATATATAATAGTTATAACTAATAAATAGTATATATAATTAAAAATTTGTAACTATTTATATATATATATATATATATATATATATATATGTAACTAGATGATAAACCAAATTTAATTTAAAGCCATAGATTCAGTCGTCGTCTATGGAATCGATTACAGTATACACAGTAAATCTGCTTCAGCGATCAGAGAGACGTAAATTGAAGTACACGTTACGCGGCACAGTGTGCATAATTACTTTAAAGCAATGAGTCTCGCGAATTATCTTCTGAACAACGGGGCCATACGATACATGTAATTTATTCGACAAACTTTAAATCAATCAACCGAAAGAACATAATTAATTCTCAAAGAATCCTATCGCTCATCGACAATTCGTCAACGTTACATTCGTCTTTAATTCGATTTTAATATTTCATTTCGTTTATAATATATTATACTTATCTACGTTCATATAATAAATAATAAACAAATTAAATATTCTAAATAATTATAGATAGATATTAAATTAATTATAAATAAGATATTAATTTTTCATTAGTAATTCTTTAACTAGGAATTATTTCCAAGCTAATGCATTTTAGATTGGAACAAAGTACAACGGTCCTTCGAGATCGATGGAAAGAGTAAAACGAGTTAATGGATAACGTTCGCAAACCGAGTTTAATTCAATCATTAGGAATGGATCGATACATCCCCAAACCGCATCGACAAAGTTCTGCGATATAGGAACTATCAAACTTAACCGACAATTGAATTTACCAAACGTGTATGAAAACGTTTCAACCGTGTAATAATAGAAAGATCTTTAAGCACTCAAAACGCAGAGTAATTGCAAAACTATAGAAAATAAACGAAAGAAAAGAAAAGGAAAAAAAAAGAAAAAAAAAAAAGAAAAAAAAAGAAGAAAGAAAAAATAATCGATTCGCATTCGAAATCCTATAATTGTGTTCACGATTGCACATACGAAAACATCATACGTGCCACGGAAAAGGAATGACTGGCATTAAAAAATGATGAAAAAGAAAGATTATCGACGTCGTTTATAAACCGAATTAAAGTTTGTAATTTAGAAAAATTGCCTGGTCGTCTCTCGCAATAATGAAGATGATAATCGAGAATGAAACGATCTAACTTTTCTTTTTCATTATTTAAAATAAAAAGAAATGAAAAAAAAAAAAAATAAAAAAAAAAAAAAGAAAGAAAGGGGATTTCACTAATTTTCTATAATATACTATTTATTGTATCAAATTATTACTATATAGTTATTACTATATATACTTATAAATTAATAAATTATATGTGTATATATATATATATATATATATATATATATATTTATTTATCGCACTTTTGGAAAGAAATGAAAGGAACACGTTAATTAACACCGAAATAATTAAAACGTGAGAATATTTTAAACGATAGAAAAGGACGATAGAAAAAAGTTCTTTTTTGAACGCCCGGTAGATCTGAAAATTACGTTTGATCCAAAAACGATTCTCACGTTCTTCGCGATAAAGGAGGAAGTACGTCGTAAGAAATTCTTCAGAACTTGAACCACGTTTCAAAGTAACGGTCTCCTTGTCTGTCTGTCTGTACTCCCCACCCCCCCACCTTCTCTTTCTCTCTCTCTCTCTCTCTCTCTCTCTCTCTCTTTCTACCTACCTACCTATCTATCTGTCTATCTATCTCTTTCTTTTTTTCTCTGACAAAGTTTGTCAATTTACTAAGGAGGTAAAGTCCAATGGGAAATACCAATGCTTATCATCCTTATACGATAGCTGTATACCTATGTATGTACGTACATATGAGTATACAACGGCGAACAAGCTCAATTGAAATTGCTGAAATTTCATTTGATTTTGGCACAGAGAGAAAAGCCATCGTTCGCTTCGAGTTTGGTACTACCGTTCACAGCTACAATTTGAGTCTCCCTAAACGTTGCTAGGTTCAAATCGAAGTAAACCCTACCCCTTCGACCTACTCTGCAATTTCATCTTTCAAGTGTCTCTCTCTCTCTCTCTCTATCTCTATATATATATATATATATATATATATATATATAAATGTATGTATGTATGTATGTATGTATGTATGTATGTATGTATGTATGTATGTATGTATATGTAAGTTTAGACTAATATTTTTGATATAAATAAATGATGTATTTAAAATTTAAATTATTATTATTATATATATATATATATATATATATATATATATATATAGTTTATTTTTTTATCTAAAAAAAATTCATAGTTTTTTATAATAAACTTTTTACTATACATTTATTAACTTCGACGAATAATATAATTATATAAGATTATAAAATCAATATTAAAATAATTAAAATTATTTAATTATCCCAATTTATTTATATTTGATTATATTTAATTTATTATTAATTACTATCGTGTAATAATTTATTTTATATATTTATATATTTATTATATATTATAAAAATATGTATATTTAATATTATTATGAAATATTGTATAATATTCATTTAAAATATATATTCTTACGTTTACTTCTGATATATCTCAAAAAAAATTTTTTTATAAATTAATACAACTTCCAATATTATTTTTTTAATTTTTTTTTTATCTAATACTAATTTAATACGAATTTTATTTTTTATCATAGAAAT